TATTAACACATTGGTTTCCAGGACCATATTTCATTTCCATGTATTTGTGAATTTTCTAAAATTTATTCTGCTATTGGTTTCTAGTTTCATATCATTGTGGTGAGAAAAGATATTTGATATGATTTCAATCTTCTTAAATTTGCAAAGGATTTTTGTGCCTTGTGTGTGATCTTTTGCAGAGAATGACTGCATGTGCTTGAGAAGAATGTGCATTCTAGTGCTGTTGAATGGAATATTCTGTATATATCTACTAGGTTCACTTGATCTAACGTATAGTTTAAGTCCAATGTTTCCTTATTAATGTTCCATCTGTGTGATCTGTCCATTGTTGAAAGTGGAGTATTAAAGTTCTCTGCTATTATTGTATTACAGTTGTTTTTCCCTTCAGACATTTAATATTTGCTTTATGTTTTTAGGTTCTCCAGTATTTGCAGCATATATATGTTTACAAGTGTTACATTCTTTTGATGAATTGACCCCTTTATCATTATATAGTATGCTTCTTTGTCCCTTTTTACAGTTTTTGATTGGAAGTTTATTTTTTTGATATAAATATAGTGACCTCTGCTCTCTTTTGGTTTCCTGGGGAGATCACTACTGAACATTGGCAAGTTTAAAAGTCACCTTTTTTGTTCTTGTGGTCTAGGAGACTCAGGAGTTCAGAGTTCTCTCAGCTCCCACAGGTAGGTGATTTGATAGTCAGTTTCTTGGGTGAAGGCTACAAAAGTCGGGGTCCTTGATGTGTGTATAAACTACGAGAGAGAGAGTCCTCAGATCTGGATTTATTGCTGGAGGAAGCCAGGGAAGAATGTGCGGGGGTGCTCACTATTTTGTTCAAGCAAGCAGAAGTCTCACACCCTCCTAGCAGTTGGGGAGACTTTTGGTCTGGAGTTGTCTTTGAAGCAAGCCAGAGAAGCAGGTGCAGGGAGTAGGCACTTTTTCCTTTTTGATGTATATATTTATATCATATATATATAGATATATTTCCATATATATGCAATATATATGGGTACTATATATATGAAATATATGTATGGGTGCCATATATATGTATATGAAATATATATATGGGTACCATATATATGTGTATGAAATATATATATGGGTACCATATATATGTGTATGAAATATATATATGGGTACTATATATGTGTATGAAATATATATATGGGTACTATATATATATATGAAACAAGACCCTTACTTCTTGGGAAGAAGCTTGTAGTAAGGGCTTCCTTCCTTATTATAAGGTGCTGTTCTCAGTGTGGGGTTAGTACAGGGAGTGGGGTTAGTGCAAGGAGTCCTTTTCCCATTGCTTATTTTTGTTAGATAGATAAAGCAAATGTTAGAGCTAAAGAGAGAGATAGACCCCAATACAGTAATAGCTAGATTTCAGCACTCCGCTTATAACATTGAACAGATCTCCCAGGCAAAAAATCAACAAAGGAACTTCGAACTTAATCTGCACTATAAATTGGGTTAGTAGATATTTAAAGAATATTTTATTTATTGGTTGCAGAATATACATATTTCTCAGCACATGGATCATTCTGATCTGTGTAATATTCATTACTGGGTTGATCCAAAATAATTGTAAATTAAGATCAATTTTTATAATTCATATGCTGTGTCAGTTAGAAAATATAGCCCCAAATTCTCTGAGGCTTCTTCCAGTTAGGAAATGGGGTCTACCCAACCTCCTGTGAGTTTAGCTGGCTTATATTCATTTTCATTAATAGAATAGATAGAAGTGATGCCATGCGGTGTCTGCCTGGCTCTTGGCACACAGTCTCTGAAAGATTTATCTTAAGATATTTTCTCTCAGAATCCAGCTGCCATTCTATGAGAAGCTCAAGGCAAAGGAAGGCCCCATGTAGGTTCCTGGTTAACAGCTTTAGCTGAGGCAGACATGTGAGTGAGTGATTAAACCTCTAGATAATGGTGTCATTTGAAGCAAAAAAAATTTAATTTTGAAGTTCAATTTATCTATATTTTCTTTTGTTAACTTGTGCTTTTGGTGTCATATCCAAGAAACCATTGCCTAAAGCAAAATCACAAAAATTTACTTCTCTATTTTTTATAAAGGGTTTTATAGTTTTAACTCTTAATATTTATGTCTGCAGTCCCCTTTGAGTTGCCTAGAGTGTGAGATGAGGGTTAATGTTTATCCTTTTACCTCTAGATATTCAGTTCCCAGCACTAGTTGTTGAAAATACTATTTTCTCCCCACTGAATTTTCTTAGTGCTCTTGTAGAAAAAATTGCTTGGCCATAAATGTAAGGGTTTATTTCTGAACTCTCAATTCTATTCCATTTATGTATATCCTTTGCTTATGCCAGTGCCACACTCTTGATTATTTAAATTTTATACTAAGTTTTAAAATTGGGAGTGAAAGGCCTCCATATGGTTTTTTCTCATTTAAGATTGTTTTGGTTGTTCTGGATGCCTTAAATTTACATATAAGTTTTAGTGTTGCCTTTTCAATTTCTCCAAAAAAAAGCACTAATTGGTTTTTTAATAGGGATTAAGTCAATCTGTAAATCAGTTGGAATGTATTATCCTTTTAACAATATTGTCTAACAATACATAACCATAGGATGTCTTCTCATTTATCATATATTCGTCAATTATTTTCAATGATTCTTTGTATTTTTAGTATATAGGCCTTTATACTTAATTTTTAAAAAGTCATTCTTTAACTGTTTTATTTTGATACTATTGTTAATTTTCAAACTGTTAATTGCTAGTATATAGAAATACAAGTGAATTTTGTATATTGATCTTATAATTTGAAATCTTCGCTAAATTGATTTCTTCTAATAGGTTTATTATTTCCTCTTTGGGATGTGTTTGTGTGTGTATAGGTGTTTCTTAAATTTCTTTATAAAACATTTGTAAGTTGAGAGGTTTACTTCTTCCTTTTCAATCCAGATACATTTTATTTCTTTTCTTTTTTCTGGGAGGGGGTGTCTCATTTCTTTGGCTAGAAACTCCATTGTAGTGTTAAACAGAAGTGATGAGACATCCTTATCTTGTTTTTGACTTTAGTGGGAAAGCATTAACCATTAAGTTTGATGCCAGCTATGAAATTCCCTTTCATTTTCAGTTTGTTGAGTGTTTTTCTAAAGAAAGGATTTAGGAGTTTGCTTTTTTTCAGACTATTGAGATGATTATAAAGGGAATCATTTTTAAATATCATTTAGTATATCGATTGGTTTTCAGTTATTAAACCAAGCCAGCATGGGATTGTTAATTTTCGCTCTTGTTTTCTTATTCTTTCTTTTATTTATATAAATAAATATATATATATTCTTTCTGCTTACTTTAATTTAATGTCCTCTTCTTTTTCTAGCTTATAAGATAAAAGTTTTGTTGACTGTGGTCTCTTTTCTTTTTCAGTGTAAGTTTGCAGTTGTAAACTTCCTCTAAGCATCACTTTAGCTGCATCCCATAAGTTTTCATGTGATGTGTTTTTGTTTTTCTTCATCTCAACCTATTTTCTAGTCTCCCTTATGATTTTTTCCTTGACCCATTGGTCATTTAGGAGTGTGTTGTTTAAATTCCACTTATTTGTGAATTCCTCAAATCTCCTCCTGTTATTGACTTCTAATGTCAGTTCATATAGACTGAAGAACACCTTTTGTATGAGTTTAATACTATTAAATTTATCAGGGCTTGAGTTGTGGCCTAACATATTGCATAGCTTAGAGATTTCCAAGTATATTTTAGAGCAACATGCATTTGTCTGTTGGGTGGAGTCTTCTATGGGTATCTATAGACTTCCAATGAGCTCTACTTAGTGTATTGTATTCTTCAATTCCATTTTCTTCTTGATCTAATGCTTAGTTGTTCAATCTATTATTTAAAATGGGATATTGAAGTCTCCACCTATGATTGTTGTAGTATCTATCTGTAATTGCTAATGATTGGGCATGAAAGATCACATATAGGATTTTAACCTGGAGCTGGGCTCCTCAATTTGCACAGACACACTGGGCTCCTCAGTTTGCGTGCATGCACACACACACACACACACACACACACACATATTCATACACACATATTCTTATGTACACAAACATGCATATACATACAAATAAACATATTTAGAAATCAGGAGTTCTCATGGACATCTTCAATTCCAGTTTATCCTCTCAGGTCTTATTCTTGCCTTCCTTCATTTTGTAAGTATTTGTTTTCTTTTCCACAGTGTAAACCTGACTGAACATTAATGACACATGTACTCATTTACTTTATCCTCTAATGCTCCTCAATTTGTTTTAGAATTGCTTAGCTCATAGCACTAGAAAAACAAATTTACTAAAATATTTTGTGATTTTATTTGCACCCCACTCTCTTGACCAAGACTAATATTTGTCAAATTTTTATTCACAGGTTACTTGAATTAATGCTTTGCATTTTTCCTCAGTAGGTTCACTTATTTCTTTGAGTAATAGTTTCCCTTTCTAATTCTATTGATTTAGCTTTATATAGGAATTATGGATTAACTTACTTATATATAGGAATTATGCATTGACTTACTTCCCAAAGTGAAAAATATGGAAAAGGTATACTTAGAACATTCCTCCTGTATCTCTTCCCTTTGTATTTCTCCAGTAAAGGTAACCATGTATGTTGTTTTCCGGTTTGTTTTTCTTGTGTTACATTTCATGAAGGCAATTTTCTGTCTATTTCAATATTTTTCTTCATCTCTCCTTCATTCTTATCTAAAAGGTAGCATTCTAGATATGCATTTTTCTATTTTCGTTTATTTGCCTTCTGCCTACTTAACATTATGCCTGGAAATAATGAAACAGCAACATACACCTATTAAAACTTCTCACAATTTTCATGTGAGATCTATCTCAATGGTAATTTACTCATCACTTTATGAGAATGAGAGAAAATGCTGCTGTGTACATGTTTAAAATGTGAAATTTGGAGATTTCACAATAGATCTCTTTCTCTATTTGGTAGACTAAATGAATCTTTTTATGTAGCTTACAGTGAAGTTCCAGATGAAAATCTTATGGTTGAAAATAAAGATTCAGTAACAAAAGTCCAAGTAGAACAAATGAAACAAACAACTTCTAGTATGGAAAGACGCAAGGGTAAGTATAATAATTATAGATATCTTTACACTATTTTATTTTATTTTTATTTTTTGAGATGGAGTCTCGCCCTGTCACCCAGGCTGGAGATTGTGACACAATCTTGGCTCACAGCAACCTCCACCTCCCAGGGTCAAGCAATTCTTCTGTCACAGCCTCCTGAGTAGCTGGGATTACAGGTGCACACCACCACATTGGCTAATTTTTGTATTTTTAGTAGAGATTGTGTTTCACCATGTTGGTCAGGCTGGTCTCAAACTCCTGACCTCATGATCCACATGCCTTGGCCTCCAAAAGTGCTGGGATTACAGGCGTGAGCCACTGCTCCTGGCCCTTTACACTATTTTAAGTTAACTCATCAGAAGGTCTTTTTTCTTTGGGTCATGAATATTTGAACATATAATTTGTAGAAATTTTATACTTTGACCTAAATGTGAATACTGCAAAAATAACTAGAGAACTAAAGTGAAAGCTTTGATACCTTTTGATTGGTATTTGCATAGTCAGTGACTACTATGTAACAAGATTGCCTACACATGAGAATTTTCTGCTTCACATCCAGGGTCTGTTTTAATGAATAGCTCACTGCTATAACTTCCTGATCCTATTCCATTAATTTTACACAAATAAGAGGAAGTATTGCTGATTACTTGACATATACAGAAGTTTTATCATAGATCTGTTTTTCTATTTAGCGACTCCTACAACCCCACAATCGCCTGAGGACGTGGTTTTAGTTTCAAGAAGTCAATCTGAAACTAAAAATCTTGAAGCTACTGGAAATGAGAGTTTTCGTTGTAAGTAGTAAGTCTAAAATATTATAAAATTATTTTCAATTATATTCAACAGCTCTTTTTATGGTTCATGAATATATCTACAACTATTTTTTTGTAATTATTTTGTATATACTTCTAGATCTATACTGGTCTGTACAATGACTGAATTAGATGTGTTAATTTTTCTACTATGATTGTGAATTTCCTTGTTCCTTTTTATAATAATGTCAGGTTTTACTTTATATCTTATGACATTTTATTATTAATGTGCATATAAATTTAAAATTAACAATCTTGCTGGAAGAAATAAACTTTTGTCCTAATGAAGGGACCTGCTTTATCATTTTTATAGCTTTTGTTTGTTTGCCTTAAAAACTATCATGTCTCCCTGTAATCTCAGCACTTTGGAAGGTAAAGGTGGGCGAATCTCTTGAAGCCAGGAATTCAAGACCTGACTGGGCAATGGAGTGAGACCCTCATTGCCACAAAAACAAAACAAAACCCAAAACAAACAAACAAACAAACAAAAACTATCACATCTGCTATTAATGTAAATCTCCCAACTTTCTTCTGATTGGTGTTTGCATGATACATTTTATTTTTCATCCTGGTAACTTAACATTCCTGTTTCTTTGTGGGTTTTTTTTTTTTTCTGTATCTCTTGTATGAAGCTTATAGTTGTATATTTTTCAAATTCGGTCTAATATTTTTTGTCTTTTAATTAGCTCTCATAAAACACATTTAGTCTTATTATTGATATTTCTATGTTTAAGTATACCATTTTCTTTGACCTTCCTATTTTATCTGCCTGATAAGTTTATTATAGTCTCCTTTATGCTCTATTACTTAATATCATTACATACTTTTTCCTTGGACAAATGATACCAAATATTTTAAACTTTATTCTAAAGATACCTCTGTGTATGTATCTAAAAAGTAGCATAAAGCTTATACTTCAACTGGATGGTATCTATTAATAGTTTATTACCACAAAGTGTGATGTGCTTATATCATGTGAAGTGAGACAGTATTATTGAGTCATTAGCATATATTGCAAGTCTAGTACTTACACCACAGATCTGGTTTTCATTTAGTTCTTAAAAAGATTTTCTTATTGTATCCTAGAGTATGGGTGAAGAATTAGATGAAAATATTTTGCCTGACAGAGTTGTTAGAAGAAAAAGACTCAGCAGTAAATATAATGATGAATATTATTAAGTAATTTTTAATTAAAGTTAATTTTGAATAAATTAAGCGGAATTTGGTTTATGGATGTGTATCATGTTAGGACTGTACAAACATTCATTAAATTGTGCTATTTAAAGTAGTATTTATTTCTTGATTTCCTTTAATATTTTGTTTGTTCTGACATTTACTAAGAGAGTCATGTTGAATTCTCCTCCTATTATTTTGGATTTATCTATTTCTTCTTGTAGTTTTGTCTTCTTTTTTTTTAAAATTTATTTATTATTATTATACTTTAAGTTGTAGGGTACATGTGCATAACATGCAGGTTTGTTACGTATGTATACTTGTGCCATGTTGGTGTCAACATTAGACAGATCAATGAGACAGAAAGTTAACAAGGATATCCAGGAATTGAACTCAGCTCTCCAGCAAGTGGACCTCTACAGAACTCTCCACTCCAAATCAACAGAATATACATTCTTCTCAGCACCACATTGCACTTATTCCAAAATTGTCCACATAGTTGGAAGTAAAGCACTCCTAAGCAAATGTAAAAGAATAGAAATTATAACAAACTGTCTCTCAGACCACAGTGCAATCAAACTAGAATTCAGGATTAAGAAACTCACTCAAAACTGCTCAACTACATGGAAACTGTAACGAAATGAAGGGCAGAGAAAAGATGTTCCTTGGATCCAATGAGAACAAAGACACAACATACCAGAATTCTGGACACATTTAAAACAGTGTGTAGAGGGAATTTAGAGCTCTAAAAGCCCACAAGAGAGAGCAGGAAAGGTCTAAAATTGACTCACAATTAAAAGAACTAGAGAAGCAAGAGCAAACACATTCAAAAGCTAGCAGAAGGCAAGAAATAACTAAGATCAGAGCAGAATTGAAGGAGCTAGAGACAGAAAAAAAACCCTTTGAAAAATCAATGACCCCAGGAGCTGGTTTTTTGAAAAGATCAATAAAATTGATAGACTGCTAGCAAGACTAATAATGAAGAAAAGAGAGAAGAATCAAATAAATGCAATAAAAAATGACAAAGAGGATATCACCACCAACCCCACAGAAATACAAACTACGATGAGAGAATACTATAAACACCTCTACGCAAATAAACTAGAAAATCTAGAAGAAATGGATAAATTCCTGGACACATACACCTTCCCAAGACTAAACCAGGAAGAAGTCAAATCCCTGAATAGACCAATAACAGGCTCTGAAATTGAGGCTATACTTAATAGCCTACCAACCAAAAAAAGTGCAGGACCAGATGCATTCACAGCCGAATTCTACCAGAGATACAAGGAGGAGCTGGTACCATTCCTTCTGAAACTATACTAATCAATAGAAAAACAGGGAGTCCTCCCCAACTCATTTTATGAGGCCAGCATCATCCTGATACCAAAGCCTGGCAGAGACACAACAAAAAAAAGAGAATTTTAGACCAATATCTCTGATGAACATCATTGCAAAAATCCTCAATAAAATACTGGCAAACCAAATCTAGCAGCACATCCAAAAACTTATCCACCATTATCAAGTTGGCTTTATCTCTGGGATGCAAGGCTGGTTCAACATACCCAAATCAATAAACATAATCCAGCATTTAAACAGAACCAAAAACAAAAACTACATGATTATCTCAATAGATGCAGAAAAGGCCTTCAGCAAAATTCAACAGCCCTTCATGCTAAAAGCTCTCAATAAACTAGGTATTGATGGGATGTACCTCAAAATAATAAGAGCTATTTATGACAAACCCACAGCCAATATCATACTGAATGGGCAAAAACTGGAAGCATTCCCTTTGAAAA